CTGATTACAGATATCACACTCTCAGCGCAGAACGTCTTCCCGTGTGATTACGATAGGTGTACGGTAGGAAGTCAAAATCATGAATTCGGCTGGAGTTCGGTCCATATGGCTTATTCGACATGCTAATTACGATTATCATCTCTCTCTCTGCACCTTTTCATAGTGTTGTGGTGGTTATATGGCATGAAGTCGAAATCATAGATTTGCTTTAAACTTCGTCTAGGGTGGTCCTTTAGCGCGCTGAACATGATTATCATGCTGATTTCGCAGGATAGTGCAATTTCTTTGCTTACAGTGGGTGTAGATAGGTCGAAGTTCCAGATTTGCTCAAAACCTTACCTGTAACGGTTTACAAGTATATCGCTTATGAATATGATGCTGCTCGCTGTCATAACGCAATAGTGAAGTTGGTGAGTTGCAGGGTTTCAATGGACATTTTTTCGCTTTCGGGCCAATTTAGATCCCAGATATTCAAGAGACGGGGAAACGGTCGTTTTGCATGTCGATCTCCAGCGCCATCCTGATAACCTGTACCAACGCGTAACGCACGCGGCAAATCTCCTTCCCCTGTTTTTGCTTAGGCAAAAGCTCCAAAGTGTGTATCGCGCGCAGCAGTGGTCCTATAAGTGAAAGCACTACGGTCGTGGGAAACTTTTATATCACACGAATTTCCTTTGTCGTGGGGATTGAGCACGATATTTCAGCACTTTAGGTAATCTGCCAAGGTTTCAGGCAGGTTCATGATCTTTACCCGCTGCCATGTACCTACCGTAACTCTGCGAAAAGGAACGCAACGAGAGTGTTTTAGACGTGGTCAGAAGGTCGAATCTCTCTAGACCGTGTTTCAGCCAAAACTGAGATTTCGCCCCTCTGCAGTATACCTACCATAACTCAGTGAAATCGCCTCAAAATGCCGAAGAAAAATGATATTCGTAATCAGCATGTCAATTAGCCCCTCCCCTCAAAGTTTCAGCGAAATCCATAATTTTAGCTTCTTATTGTACTCAACTAAACCCAGAAAATGGCGCTATGTCGCGCGAAATGACTACGATATTCGTTATCAGCGGCTTTGATTATCCCCATGTACCGACTTTGAGCAAGATCCATCACAAAAACACTTTGGGGCCGGATAGCCGAATAGCCTCATCAGTTTCCAAAATTATCCTTACTTTTACCGGTTTTATTGCTTTTTTTTGCCAAGTTTGAGCTACGAAGCTGGGGGTTGTTGGGGGAGAAGGTGGTAGTATACGCACTCGCCCCGCCCCGGAGTGTATTTGTGCAAAGTTTGGCCGGATCAGATCTATTGTCCTGAACATGCTTACAGACACACATACAGATCTCATGCAAACGAACAGACATTCAGCTTCATGTATAAGGAAGGAAATGCAGCTCACAGCACAATATGTACAGCTCAACAGCTCAGCTGTTCGTCCTGCCATGTGATACAGAAGACAAATTTCAAATGATTACGTATTTATGCCCAGTTGTGTTCTCTTCTTTAAGGAAATTGATTGTGAGGCCTCTCCGTGCTTCTGCCTCCATCGGTTCAATGGAGATAACCAGAGTAAACTCAGTCATGGCAAGAAAGACAAACTATTTTTCCCTCCCCCCCCCCACAGTTTTCCTACAAGGCCTCCCTTTCCCAAATCAATATTCCCTCTTCCTCTCGTTTGTGGTCCATCCTCGAAATTTGTCTTCCTTGGGCAAAAACATAACTTCCAACCGCCTGGACCATCCTCTCCCAATTTTACAAAGCGCTCAAAGGCACAGTCTACCCCAAGTCAGGGATCTTGAGCTTTTGGCAGTATAGTTAGTAGAACTCTCTGTCGAACAAATGCCTAAGTCGCGGCGTAAAATGTCGTTTCGGAATGGAGAATAGTCATGAGGACCCCAAGTCGGCAGCCTCCCCCCCCTCAATAATGCCCACTCGTGCTCGCCCAGCCAATCATCGTTCGAAACCGCCCCACGGGTTCTTCGGAAGGGAGATTGTTGTGGTTTTCGCTATACTCGACATCACTTTTGGAATCAAGGACATGGGAAGACCCCGGTACGACAAAAATATGGGAGTCGTCTGGGTAGACAGTGCCGTTGAGCTATCCCTCCCCACAACCTCACATAAGTCTCGTTGGTCCCCGTGGAATTTAGGTTGTCCAGATGCCTCGCATCGAGAGTCGCATCCTTCTGACCTCTTGTAACTGCTAAGGTTTGCATGTATCTGTAGAGATGTGATGGCGAGTAATAAGTATTCATCTCCATAATGAATGCAAAAACCGAGCATGTCACAGCGAAAAGCAGCTTATGACCTTGAATAGGGTTAATGGTGCGATTTTGTAGAAGAACAACGGCGGCGGCGTGGGGCGGCGCAATTTCGCATACTTTTTATGTCTTCATATCCATTGCATGCACATAAAATCATGCAAATAACTTTCTTTTATGAATTTTCACAATAATCTCAAGAGAATAGATTTTATACGAAACGAATTAACTCTGCACGAATTTTTTTCCTCGGGATTATGGCTGCGGTTACGTTTGAAGTGTGAAAAGTGTCTCAAATTAAATTAATTCGGAAATCGCATTCGTTTTGCTCTTGCACCAAAAGTATTTATCACTGTTTGATTTTTAGAATCCCTCTTCCTACGGAGTCTTTTGCCGACTCTCAGGTACCGCTGTGTAGAGCGGGCTTCAACCTAGGTCTGTAATGTAAACAATTATCTGAATACATTACATTACTGTGGAATTACTGTAAAGACATCCTACTAAACCGAAAAAAACCGAGACAAACCAGAAAATCTGGAAATTTGTGTCGCAGTGTTCTACGCATGCTGGTAACACTACACAATTCTTCAGCTTCTAATCCTTTTACAACGCGCAATTACTTTTTAACATTGAAAAAATCGTTGATACTGTGTACATAGCAAGCATACTTATAAAAGAGCATTATTTTATAGTGCAAATTCCTTCTTCAAAACCAGCAACACCAACTAGATGTGAAACTGAATTGTTCGGCCTCCTTTTTGAGGCAAAATATGAATCCCAATAACTTGAAACCCATCCCAAATTCCCTACCATACTCCTTCTTAACGAAGTTTTTTCGTAGCCCTCTGTTCACTGATATATGAATACGATGATTGGAAAGAAGAAGCGGCCAGCAAAGTCCCATCGTCACCTTTCTGCGTACTGGCTGGCAACGGGGATGAACCCCGGCAAGAGGGCACTGTCGCGTCAGGCAGAGCGACGCGCTGGGGACTTTACGAATCAGTCGTCACGTGCATGTCACATGCATCGGACTATCAAGGATTTTCGTCATGCTGCTAGGGCGTCCCCCGGAGGCGACGCGCGTCATTGCCCGTCTGGCGCGACTAGTGAGCTAGGGCTACCTGCCGCCGGACGAGGCAGGCCAAAAAGCGAGTCCAGGAAATCCGACTAGCGACGATTAATATGGGAACGCTGACGAGCCGCAGCCGGGAACTATGCGATAGACTGAGGGAGCGACACATCACATCGCACGTGCACAAAAAACGAAATGGAAAAGGAGGCAGGCTAAGGACATCGGCGAGGGATATCGCTTATTACACGGGAGACAGCAGCCGCCAGAACGGAGTCGCGATCATCGTCAACGGTAGATACCGCGAACTAGTGACCGAAGTGACGCGCATTTCAGACAGATTGATGGCGAAGAGGACGAAGCAGACGATGCCACGCTTCGAATAATCTCGTGTTATGCCCCGCAATCCGCATATACCAAAGCCGAGAAGGACGTGTTTTGGAGGGACTTCGACATTCTACTAAGGACATTCGACGCGGCAGACTACATCTTCGTAAGAGGCGATCTTAACGGGCACGTTGGCCACGCACACGATGGATTTAAGCGATACCATGGTGGAAATGGATACGGCCAGAGGAATGAGGATGGAGAACGCATCCTGAAAGCCGCAGAAGCACACGATTTGGCTCTAGCGAACACACGTATGCGAGTGGAGACCGCTCAACTCAGATCGACTACTGGATGCTGCGCCGATGCCACTTGCCGATGGCGATGAACGCAAAGGTTATACCCTCGGCGACACATGCATTTGCGCCACAACACCGGTCGCTCGTATAGGATCTTCGAATGAACATCCACTTGCATTCCCGAGCCAGAAGAACGACCACAAAGAGGATGAAATGGTGGAAGCTTCCCGAACATCGCCAGCAAGTCAGAGATGCTTTTAACGATCTGAGGGTGTCGATGGATGATAAGGAATCGATTGAAGAACAGTGGAGTCGGATTACTTCGCAGATACGATCAAGGACCGAGGAGATCTTGGGAACCGCCAAGCCAGACGCCGGTTTGCAGACAAACAGATCTGGTGGTGGTCCAACAAGTGATTAAGGAGAAGAAAGAAGCCTCAAAGTTGGCAGCGCTTACACTCAAATGAGGACCTCCGTCGATATCGAGAACTGAACTCGAAAGCGAAGCATGCGGCAGCCGAAGCAAAGGAAGCATACTACAAGAGACTTTACGGCGATGGTAAGATGGTAAATGAAACCTCGTCGCTTTCGATCTAGCTAAGGAACTGCAAAATTTTTTACCCAACGGTGTTTCTGGAGCGAAATGCATGTGAAAGCATTTTCCAGTCAAAAAAGCAGATGATCGGTTCTTTTGGAGGTATGAGACAGCTTAGCTATAGCCGTTTGATACTTTTGAATGTGGAACTGCCTGAAAAATTAGCTGGGAAGCTAGGAAGTGCTCCAAACAGCAAAAACTCCAGGTGGACCCATAATTTATGGCATGAGTCAAGGCATTTTTTAGAATGGACCTATAATTTTAGCCCCTGAACTGGGCTTGGAATGACGTGGTGATTTTTTGTTACTGTTGTGTTTTTGTGTGACTAACACTTTGACCTTATGATTTGGAACGCCTCGAGCGTATAAATGAAAGAATGAATATTGATTAGGCAATTCTCTGCCAACAAAAATCCTTTGAAAAGCTGAAAGTTTATTGTCCATCAAACGACAGTTTAAGCATTCATAATAACTGCGTCAACATTTTTGTTTTCAATATTGCATTCGTTGGTTCCTCGGCGTATCTTGAAGAGGCCTAAAGTAGTAATTAGTTTCCTTGAAAATAATGTTTCGGTAAGAGTTCGCAAAGGCCCAAACAAACTTACCGTCTTCTCCCCAGGCAGTGCTCCAGGAGTTCGCAACGAGCCAGTATTTCACACCATTCTCTACACCCCATCCTATGAGTCTGATAGCATGACCTCCTTCATACTTTCCCCATGTGTGCTAAACTCAATGATTCAAAGAAAAAATTCTAAAAGCTTTTACTTGCAGCACGAAATCATTATGTTTGACTTTTTTAGGTTTTTGTACAATTTTTCTTTTATACACTGCTTTTACGGAGCAGGAAAATTTGCTCTTGAAACACAAAGAGTACACCTGCTTTAACTATCTTCACGTTACATATTTCGAAATTTTTGAGCCAAGCATTACCCGTTAACGAATATGTTTTTACATTACGCAGTTGATAGACTCTAACAATGCATTCAACAAAGCTTTTCTAATGACAGCTTTACTTTTCGCGCAAGCCTATCGATACAATTCAGAATGCTCCATTTACACAAACACAGGGGAATGCTTCCATGCTTATAAAGGTTGATTGACCTTACTAGCAAACGCTTTAAAGAAAATTTGGGTGATTTCTTTTATGGTAGATTGCGTATGTGATAGGTGCAAACTGCTCTGCCATAGGTGATGAATATACTAACAAGGAAAAACCCTCAGTCGAAGTGGGGTTTCCACATGTGATGCATAACATCCTGCTGGTCTTGGGGCACTAATACCAGATCCGTGTTACTTAGCTGCTCAACGATCTCCAGGGAAAAGTTATGAGGGACGGTTCCCACAATGACCGCTAAACCTTATAAGCCTCGGGCGCCATGAAATGTACAGATGTGGACGGATAGATGGGTCGATTTGTGGAGATTAAGGCGCAGGTGATGAAGGGTTGGCTTCGCTATAGAGCCAAACTTTGAATTTTTGTAAATTTCAATTTACGGAATAGTAAGCGATTTTCAACGAGGATTAGTTTGTCGGAAATCGTCCGCAAATTCACAGAATACAGTTTGCAAAAATGCAAAGCTTGGCTCTATAGGGAATGTGACCACTTTATCACCTGCGCCATAGACTGCGCAGCTATCTGCCCGCCCATCCGTCCTCACCTGTACCTTCCTTGGCGCCCCGGACTCATAAAGTGCAGTGGTCATCGTGGAAAACCTTAGCTCATAACTTTTCCCAAAAGGTCATTGAGCAGCTAAGGAACACGGATTTGTAGTGCACGTGTAAAAATCCACTTCGACTGAGGGTCCTTCTCTTGTAAGAAAGGTTCAAATTTAGCATAGCTTTATAGTGAGTACTCACTACGTATACTCCACTCTTGTAAAGACGGAAATCGCTGTAAACGTCGAACCCTGCTGTAACGGATCCATTCGTGAAGATTTCCTTTCGAATCGCATCTTCGTTCGCAATGATCGAATATGCGGAACTTGCTATGCAACACAACAGGATTACTTTTAATGCTGTATGCCGAGACTGTAGTGCCAATTACCGTAAATCTTGTCGCTGTAATAATCCATGTTATATCCAAACTGACATTGCGCACGACAAACTGGCGTTTGTTTGTCTTGACTATCTGGAGCGAACGGGTATGGTTTGCAGCAATTCTGAAGAATATCGAGCAATTATTCTAAACCTTTGAGGGCATCACATACCTTTGCATTGTATGCACCACCAGTACATACTCCATAGTTCACTCCATACTGATAGGCTCTGAGGGCCCACCCTCCATTACATCTGTAAATTATCCATAAGCGCTTTTACTTCAATAGAAAGACTGGATTGGAATCAAGGTGTGAATATAAAAAGCTGCTGGACTTATGTTTTTCTGCTGTATTAATTCCTCTCGAAAATATCTCAGTGCTTTCCTCAAAGACAAGTATTTTCTTGACAATAAGTAGTTTGAGAAAATTAGTTCAATCTGAAGGACTACGCTAAGTGCAATTGTAGTAAACGTAAGAAAGTTTGGGTTTTAGGCCAAATTTTTTAAATATAATCAATATCGGAGTGCATTGCACAGTAATACTCTGAGGTAATAATAAGTAGTCGCGATGCAATATATTATAGAAAGTCAAACATTGCGCATTTAAGCAAACAAAAAAATTTCGAGAAAAAAGATAAGGCTGATTTTTCATGATTATGCTGCACAGGCGGTTCTCTCTGAACGGGAAAAGGATTTGGTGAACGTGGCCTTTCGTAGTGTGACATATGTCATGATATCCGCCTTAAAACGCTGATCTCAAGACTGTGTTCATTATCTGCGGAAGGATTGTTCGGAACTGTATTTCTTCGCGTCTGACTTGTTTGCAATAGAATAGATATGATGTTAATAGAGGCTAGAAAGTCGAATGTTCTGACGGTTAGCATTTTGTTATTGCATAATGGATGTCAGTTTGATCTCTGTCGGCGCGAATTTTGCTTTCGCTTCCCCAAGCGCCACTTTTTCTCAGGCGAGCGTTCGAGTTTTTTTTGAATCGAATTTTTCGAGCATGCGCTGTGGTGAGGATATGAAAGTTTGTTAATCTTAGGATGAATCAGTAAAAAAGATTGCAAAACATGGTTTTTTTAGCAACGAGAATTGAGCCTCATATAATCCTAATAAAAAATTCAGTTTTTCTCATGTGTTATACTGCGAAAGTAAAAATCTTCGTTTGCTGACAAGCAGGTCATTGACAAAGCGGAGCAAAAATGCCAAGGAAAATTACTAACGAGTCACTAAATACACTTTACTAAAGTAAGATTCGAGAAACCCGAAAGTACATAATAATATTAGTTTGGTGCAAAAGTTCTTTTCCACCAAATTCAAAAATTCGTAACTTGCTGAATTCTCAACGAATTTGCAAGATCTAAATTTTATGTAAGAGCCAAACTCATGCTCTTTGCAAATCTACTTGAACTGTTCGTTAATGTGTACAAATGAAGGAGATAGAAGTTGAAGACCAAAATTACTCAAAATTTGAATATTTCGTGTAGGGTCATAAAAAATCGGAAATTTGGATAAAAATTGGAGTAGTCGCTATTGTAGGCTCTTTCACAAGCTCTTTTCGACAGTATAAAGTTTGTGCCGATTGAGCGTCTCTGTGAAAGGTTATGAATTCCCTGAAAATGCTAAATCAAATTCGCCATTTTGTGTTGCTTGCTCGAAAATCATAACTTTTTATAGAGACGCTCAATCAGCACAAACTTTGCACTTAGAAAGAGCTGATGAAGGAACCTACAATACCGACTGCATTTTTGTTGCAAGTTTCCGATTTGTTATGACGCAATACGAAAAATTCAAATTTTGAGTGATTCTGGCTTTTAGCTTCAATCTCCTTTATCTGTTCTCGATAGCGAACCCTTCAAGTACTCATGCAAGGAGCATGAGTTCTTCTCCTAAGCAAATTTAGACCTTGCAGATTCAATGAGTACTCAACAATTTATGAATTTTTGAATTTGGTGCGAAAGAACTTTTGCACCAACCTAATAGTTTCAATAAGGAAGCACTTCAGGTATTAATTTCTGTTTCCACCTGGAGTTGGAGAACTTCTGAAAGCATCTCATGCTTTCACTTTGTAAAACAAACTATCTGCTCATGCACTCGTTGTTGATCATTACAGACCATGTAGGTCTGTTGAAATTTAGTATTGGTATATACAATTGTCTTTGATAATCGAGCATGTAAAGACTGCTTCCTACAAGGAAACTTAAGATTGAGCGTTTTCAACGCCTCGACGTTACCGATGCTGTTCGATAAACAGTAACTGACACACTAGACATACCCATAACCACAAAATCCACCACAACATGCAAGAATATCTGTGTCTGAGATTATCCTCTGCAACAAAAGGTGATTTCTGTCTTATATTTTCATAAATCGACTCTGTCAAACCTGATCTTGTCCCATGGTTCGTATGCACAATCTATCAGACATGACTGAAGCTGAAGATACAGCCCAACAAGATCCTGAAGTATGGGTTTATACCACCATAGCTATCATTTCAAGTTCAATTTACCGCATAGTGCTTGATCTCTGATAGTCTTTATAGAAACGCACTAGGGCCACTTTTCTCGAGCAGCGAAACTGTAACGCATGTCATGAAATGTTCTGTTCTGTATTCTACATAAACTCTGAAAGGGGACCACATACCTTTCTGGAAGATACTCATTCATAACAATCTCCTTTGCTGTTACAGTTCCCTCAGGTTTTTTCGAAAATTCACGATCCATCAGGTATGACTTGAACTTTTCGTACGACATCGTTGGAACTTCTGCCTGAAAAAAAACATTGTGTCATTACGGCGTGAGCAGATCATATGTAGCTAAATTTGTTGTTTATATGGTTACCTTGAAAAAATGTTGATTTCTGTTGAGATAATCAACGAGTTCTTGATCCGACATGCGGTTGGCATCTGTGACACATGTAATTTTTTCTGCTGTTTTGTTAAAGTTAAATTGCAGCTATTTCACATAAGCTTTCAGCTCCAATGACCTCGAATGTCTTGTACAAATCTAAAGTGTTTAAAAAGCTGTTACGCACTCACCTACAGACATGCCTGAAGCCGGTATAAAGAATACGGTTAGCAAAAACAGCATTTTGGCCATCTGGAAGCAAATATTTAACATCAAAAAATGTTTTCAGCGAGACTTTTTGATAAATGTCAGTACAAACTTACTTGTTAGAGTATAGATGGACAGAACCACAACAGTCCACACTGCTTCTTGGTATTTATGCACTTCCTTAACTTTTTACGACTTAAATCTTGCGATAAAGAGATTAGAGATGAAAGTGATATGGGCGTTTACCAAAAACGAGTCAGAGAATTGCTTCCAATTGCTTGAAAACAAGTTCCTTCAAAATCGTATCATTGTTTTGAAGAAAAGGGTAGGGAATGTGTGATTTTACGTCAAAATCCGAGAAATTTGAGGAATGAACGAATGATACGTGAGAGTTGCATCATACTGTAGGCAACTACAGTATGATGCAACTACTACAGTAATATAACTACAGTAATATGCAACTTACTATAGTAATATAAGTCCTCACCATTAAGGTCAAGCTTTTATTTGCGCCTGCGAATTGCTCCTTTCCGTAAAGCAGATTGGCAGCATGTTGCTGATTGAGATGAAACATGTTTCAATCGCCGCGCTAACACCAAATCGTACATATTCTTCAGAAGTGCAAAACATTTCTAAAATCGTCCCCCATATAGGCTGCGTTCACACTGAGTTTAAATGCTGTGCTGGAACTGCTTCCAAACATGCAGACCACGCAGCCGCATCTTCCCCAATCAGCGTCACTTTTTCAATTTCTCATACCAATAAAATAACTACTTTCAATGTTTTTAGCTTGGGATTATGTTTCAATAGTCGTCGAAGAAGTCCAAATCAGGAAACAACCTATTTAGGGGTCGAGCCCCATTTTGTTGAGCCTTGGTGTGCATTTAGAATACTCTCCTTTTCTCCTGCAATTACCTTTATTTTCATTCTTTTAACTTCTTTGTAACTTTCTTGCGAAAAACACTGAGCGAATTTTGGAGTCTTAGTGACCTTTACACCAATCTACGGCAAAGCAGACGGGAAATGAGGGGTGCTTAGCTTTTATCGCAGAAGCTTATTCGTTATCATTGTTTCATGGGCGTTGCCAGTGGATGGCAAAATCATGCCATTACATAAGACGATTGAGATATCCTATCTAGTTGCTGTAAGACAAATAAATGTTTTTGATTACCAGAGATAAGCCCTAGCTTAACCTTTCCGTTTGACATCTACAAATTCTTTAACTAAGCTGTTTTGTTTTGTGAATGTTTGCATGCAATTGCTCTCCACCTATGACTCAGCGGAGAAGATAAAATAGTTCAGCAGTTATATGTATAGCTAAAGTCAAGCACTTAGAGATTGTGCATGATTTTACATTCCGGTGTGTGTATATCTTTGCACTGTATCTCCTATCTTCGAGGTGAGGAGTTCAGAGTTTGGGCCAATTTGATGACGGCTTCTCACTTCTGAAGAATTAGGCAAAAATTTTCAGCATTGTCAGTGTTGCACTGCTGTCTAAAAAGCTTTGAGGATACCAAAAAAACTCTGATAGTAGTTTATTCACATACGCTGATTCTGTTAATCGATTTTATACATGCTTGCTTGTCAAACAATGTAACCGAGCGATTATACAGGGTGTCCCAAAAAGATGTGCACACTGTTTGATCGTTAATAACTCTCCTTCTTTTATGTCTTTTGTCGAGGTTGAGGTACCACTCTGTAGAGCGAGGTCCAACTTAGATTCGCAGTGTAGAGAGAACCATCGATCGCTCTTCTTACTGTAGGGAGTTAGGCTAATCGAAGTCGCTGAATCTAAATATGAAACTTGCACTTCAGTGCATTGCTCCTTTGATAAGTTACTTCAGATTTAGGGTAACAACCGCTTTTCCAATGTTCGTCAGAAATATGCATACGCCATCAAGAAAGCTCGCAAAACTGTTGAAAAGTCATGTAGTGAAGTCAGCACGCCTGAAAACCTTGCTACACAAATTTTCAGATTTTTTTGAAATTGTTTCATCAAAGGCCTGATTCTCCAGGGACTCTGTATGCTAAAACTTTATACCGTAATCTTACAGTAATGAAGAGTGATGGCTGAATCGCTTTATACTGCTAATCTAAGTTGAATCTCGCTCTACAGAATGGTACCTCAAGCTCCGTAAAAGATATGAATGCAAGAGAGTTATTAACAATCAGACAGTGTGCACATCTTTTTGGGACACTCTGTATTACACACCCCATGACTTTCGTTTGATGACAGCGTCTTACCACAATTTGGCCCTCGTTATTTTTGCGAACTGCAAGCGCTCCCGACCTTGTAAGCCTATGGGGCATATTTCCACGTAAAACCCCAGCAATCCACTTTCCGAAGTCTCCGCACAAGAAGCGCGACCAATGTCCGGCTCTACCTTAGCTTCCGCTACAAGGTTGAGCACGTCAAAAAGGATGGTATCGTCTGGGAAGATGTGCTGAAACGCAGCAGGGGAATCGAAAATTCGTCCATTGCGCGCGAGCAGTGCGCTCCGCGCGCCGTCTTAAGCCCAATTTTCTCGACAGGAGAGGACTTATCAAGTGGGAGTTGGGCATTGGCATAGTAGGGAGGTGCCGTAATGAAATTAGTAAAAATCCAGTATACTCCAAAAATCTGATGGAATAATGTTTGAGACTTTATGATAGAGCGAGAGTACTTCAATGACATTAGCAACTGTGTGATTAAATAAAGTTTTAATTTTTAAATTGGTAGAGCATGTTTTCTTCTTTGAATATACTAATTTCTGTACTTTTATTCTACGTTGTAGCTGTCCATCAAGTAGGGGTACCCTGAACAACAAAGGACAATGTAGCAGTAGTTATCAAACAAAGGGACCCACTTGGGACATCTTTGTCACAGAAGTTCATGGTCTTTCTCGTAATTGAGAGTCAGCCTAGTCCTTGCCAATCGACAGCTCATGTGATCGGTTGTGGCCTTGAAAAAAACTCCCAAAATCAGTTTAAAGCGTACTCAATGCGAGCGTAACTGCCACGAAGCAAGAAGATATGTTGCCGTTTTCGAAATTAGCTAAAGCTTTCGAACCACTTTCCCAGTACGATTTGAAGGGTCTAAGTCGGTGAACACTGCCTCAAATAATGAAATAAAGGAGGATGATAACGAAAAAGACGTGTTAAACTCTCGGGACGGTATGAGTTTTTATAAGCTGTAAATTGTAGAAGCTGTACGTTTATTGATAACTCGGCAAATAATATGACAAATGGCAAATGGTATGGTGACATATGGCAGATGATATTTCCCCAGTGCTCACGTCAAAGAGCATGCAAAAGGTAGATAAAACGCTGTCGCTTCCGATTTAGCCGAACAACCGCAGAAATTCTTACCGCAGGTTTCTGGAGCAAAATACATGTGAAAGCATTTTTGAACAAAAATTATTTAACCAATTGTTTTGAGAGGTAAGACACAGCTTGACTAGAACAGCTGTTCAACGGTTTTGGATGTGTACCTTTCTAACAATCTCGGAAGCTAGAAAGTGCTTCAATCAGTAAAAACTCCAAGTGGACCTATGATCTTGACCAGCCTTCAAATAAAAACATGAGAAACAAAATTAACTACGAATCTAAGAGTACATCCAGATTAACTTTCCTCAGTCCCAGTTTGAAGCTGGAAGCACTGGAAGAACCAAGAACACTTGAAGGGAGATGCTGTAACCACCTCGCTCCTTGATAGAATAGATTGTTGTACGCCAGCATAAGTTTTTTTCTTCTTATCCTGGTGTAATGCAAATTGAACGAAAAAAAGCGTGAGCTGCTAGGCATAAATATCCAGTATTTGCTTGCTGAAAGTCTGAGTTCCTTACGTAATACTCGAAAGCAAAAGAAAGTCAGCTATTTTCTACGGTGTTCTAGGCTCATCATATTTAGTTCCTTAAGACGGTCATTGTAAGATGGAATGTTGATAATGGTCATGCCTCTGTTGCATCTAAAGTAAAGCAAACGCGTGAAAGTTTGCTCTATCTTTTTGACATCTTTCCTGAGGTGTGGATTCCACACCTGCGAGCAGTATTTGAGATGGGGCAGGACATAGGCTTTGTATAACTTTTTGTGAATAGACTGATCTTGGGTATGTATGGATCGAAAAATGGCATACAAAACATTATACGCCTTTCTGACAACAACATCTATATGCTGAGAGAATTTGAGGGACGAGTCAAGTAATACTTCAAGATCTTTAGTCAAACTACATTCAGCCAACCTAGTTCCATTAATTTCATAACTAGCTCCTTCATTTCCTCCGATATGCATGACTGAAGTTTTCTCAAGGTTGATGGGAAGATCCCATTCACTTGACCAGAGCAGCAATTTTTCAACGAAAGTCTTCAG